TGTTTGTATGGGGACTAATCATGGAGCCTTGCCCATGCTAGTGTTCTCCCACTGAGCTACACAAACAGCTCCAATTCACTTTGTAAGTGTGTCTGTCTTTATTATTTGTTTACGTGTGTGTGTGTGTGTGTGTGTGTGTGTGTGTGTGTGTGTGTGTACATGTGTACATGTTGAGGCCAGAGGTCGATGTTGCCGTCTTCATTAACTTTCAATCTTACTTCTTGAGACAGGGTCTTTCCTTGAACCCGGAGCTCATGGTTTAGGTAGGCAGGTGTTTGCCAGTCATCCAGCTGTTTGTAACTCTTCAGCACTGGGATCACAGATCTGCACTGGGCCTGGCTGTCATGTGGGTGCTTGCACAGGAAGCACTTAACTGAGCCGTTTCCCCACTCCCCCCAACACTTTTATATACACATTTTAACATACTCTTCTTCCTTTCCTTTTTCTTTTCTTTCCCTTTCACTCTCTCTCCCTCTATGTCTCTTTCTCTATTTCCCTTTCATTTTGTTCTATGGTCACAATGTAGAATTTATAACCTTCTACCTTCTGAATATTGAAATTATAGTAAATAATTTTTTACTAAAAAAGTTTTTGAAGAACTAAAACTTTATTAGTGGTTCCTCTTTTGAAACCAGTGTATGACTAAACACGGTAAATATAACTCAAGAATATGCTCTTTTCAAAGATTTTAAGGGTATTTGTTAATGTTGCAGAACTTTAGTAATTTTGGGCAGTGGTAGCACACACCTTTAATCCCAGCACTTGGGAGGCAGAGACAGATGGGCCTCTGTAAGTTCAAGGCCAGCCTAGTCTATAGGACTGCCAAGACTACACAGAGAAACCCTGTCCTGCAAAACAAACAAACAAACAAACAAACAAACAAAAAAGTTAAATGATGTGGCTTAACAGTTTAGTAAAAGATGGTTAGAGAGGACACAACATGTGATTTCCCCATTTTTCCTACTGTGGACATCAAGAGTTGATGGTCCTACCTTGGACATCAAGAGTTGATGGTGCAGTGATCTCTTGGAAAAGCGTCAGAGCTGTGGCTACAGGTTTAAGTCCGGTGTCACCAGACAGAAACACTGCAGTTTAACACAGGGTTCTCAACCTTCACCCTATACCTAGTTTCTCCAGATGGTGGCATCTTATAAAACTGAAGGACAATGTGCAGCAACAGGCAACTGATGCACTCAAGATAGAAAGCAGTTCCATCACTACGGAGTCATGTCCCTTCCAGCCTTCCTCTCCCCCTCCCTGCACCTCCGTGTGTGTGTGTGTGTGTGTGTGTGTGTGTGTGTGTGTGTGTGTGTG